TATGTGTGTGTGTATAAGAGAGAGGGGAGAGAGAGAGAGAGATAAGAGAGAGAGAGAGAGAGAGAGAGAGAGAGAGAGAGAGAGAGAGAGAGAGAGAGAGAGAGAGAGAGAGCCTGGCCCTGGCCCGAAGCAGGGCTCTACCTCACTGGGCCCGGCACGAGAGAGAGAGAGAGAGAGAGAGCGAGAGCCTGGCCCTGGCCCAGAGCAGGGCTCTACCTCACTGGGCCCGGCGCCCAGCTGTAACGGAGGAAGTCTAATGGAGGCTCAGACCCAGTGGACTCCAGACCAGCACCCGGCCCAGCCCCGGCTGCTCTGGGCGTGGTGCCCGTCATCCTGCTGGGAGCCCGCAGCCACCGAGGCGGCTGTCTGCTAGAGAAGCCTCACCCTGACGGGGGAATTGCCCAGCCCCAGGGAAGGGGACACACTCATGGGGGACCCCCCCCACTCCTCCATCTGGAACTTCTGCTCCGGCACCTCCTCAACCTATGATCAAAAAGGTGCACAGACCTCACTGACCATTCTGCACAAACCCTCTTCCACAGGAGACAGAAGTGAGGACCCGACGGAGCGACCTGCCCATGGCCATGCACAGCTGAGGGCTCTGTCTCCCATAGGCATGGCTCTAAGTGCCCCCAATGCCTCCTGATCTGTCCCCCCACACACCCTGAATCAAATGCTGGCCGAGCCCTGCACACACCCCACCTCGGGGCTTCAGAACAGTCCTCTCGGGCGAGGTCGTGTTCCTCCTGCATCTCAGGTGGAGGTTCCCAGCCTCTGACCTAGGCTGGGTGACCACCCAGAAGGGAAACTCCGCATGAAGCCCAGCTCCCCACGGAGCCTCCTCCCCCAGCACAGAACCCAAGAGGACAAACCTCCACTCCTGGGGTTCTCCAGACACCCCAGCTGTGCTTGGTACACAGACACCCCAAGCACCGCCCTCAAGGGAAAAGCCAAGTGTCAGAAAGTCTCCCTTTAGCACCCCTCCCCGACCCCTACAGGATCATGCCTACCCTGCTGCCACCTGGGGTGGGGCCCCGGGCCTCCCAGCTACCAGGGGGCTGCAGCAGCCTGGACACATCTCTGAGGGCTGGGCCTTGAGTCTCTGACACCCACACAGAGGGGAGGGGGAACATAAACACTCTCCCAAGACAACAGCAAACCCCAACCCCAATAGCACAGCCAACATTCACCAGAAGGACAGGAAGGCTCAGGACACAGCTGGAGTGGGCAGGGGGGAGACACGGATAGCAGGCAGGGCGAGAAAGAGGGAGAAAGAAAGCGCTGGCTGAGAGCTCAGTCCCCAGGGAGAGACTCCCCCAAGAGGCGGCAGACAAAGGAGGACGAGCAGAGGGAGGGCGCCTGCCTCAGTCTCCCTTCCCCCTAAAAGGCTGCCACTCTCAGGCCAGTGGACACTCCAGTCAGCCATAGCCTGAGCTGCCCTGCCCTGCCCCCAGGTGAAGTGGATTTGGATGGATGGATGGATGAGTTGTAATCTCTCTAGGGGTCCCCTCCCCCCAAGTGCAGCCCACAATCCAGGTTTCTAAAGCCCCGGAGACAGACACTCACCTGGGAACTGGTAGCCGTAGCTGGGAGCGAACCCGGGGTAGCCGCGGCCGTAGGTCGCCACGAAGTTGGGATAGCCTTGAACACAGAGAAAGCAGTCCTGTTAGCACAGCCGCCTCGGCCGGGGGACCGCAGGGCGGGCGAGGGGACAGCCCGAGGGGCTCTCCTCCCCAGGATGGCCTGTCTCCCCTGAGGGTCTGTGCCCTGGGCAGGTCACTTCTCTCCCCAGGCTGGGGGCGCTGCGTCAGCCTGCTGGTAATTAACCCGCGTTTGGGCCGGGAGAGCCCCAGAGCCCACGGCTTTCTTGACCTGGAGAGTAAATGCCAGGCATTAGCACCAAACTCTGGCCCATGCCTGGCTCTGACATTTGGAGAGCTTAGCCTGAATGTACTTTACCTTAAAGCTATTGACACTGGGAGATTGAAGTCCTCGCAATGCCTCCTCCCAGGCAGCGGGCAGCGGCCAGCAGCGCCAGCCCAGACACAGCCTGTGTTCCTAGGGCTCACAGTTTAGTGGGGAAACTCAGGGCTGACACTGGGCCTGACGAGCCCTGTGGGTCCAGAGGAGGTGGGTCCCCAGGCCCACATCCAAGCGCACACACTCCACAAGGTACCAGAACATTCCCGAGAGAACGGGGAGGGGCTGGTTGTGCTCAGATGTGCACCACAAAGCTTAGCCCAGTCCCGGAAGCCCGTGCCACATGTTTCAACAGGCATTTTGTAGCAACCGTCTATTTCCAGACATCTGACCAGCAGGCAAGCTGGGGGGTGGGGGGGGGGTGATGGGTGATCTGAGGGGTGCATGCTGGGCATGGGGTGCAGATGAAAATCTGGGTTGGTGGTCTCATCCTTCCTGTGATGAGACCGCCAGTGAGATGTCACTCAGGACACTTCCCTCTAGGTCCCTGCCTCTTGGTTCAGCTACAGAGAAGGCTGGTGCAGCCTCCTGGACTGAGCTTCCACCGGCCACAGGAGGCCCACGGTGCCCACCTAGCCAGGCTCACGTGGTCTCCTTCCACGTGGGGTTCTCACCCTACCACCTACCCTGCCACCTCCATCAGCCTGACTTTGGCTTTGACCTCTGAGATGGTTGTCTGTGGCTGTTTGCTGGCTGTCCGTCACCTGGTGCCCCTTCTCTGTGAGTCTTGGAGAGAGGCCTGCCTCCCTTCATGGGAGCAGCAAAGGCCTTCCTCCTGCTCGGAGGCTGCCCAGACCAGACAGGCTGGCCCGACTGCTGGGGAGCAGGACCCACGCGAGACTCGGAAAGAAGAGGAACAGAGGGGCAGAGACGAGGGACAGAGACCAAGACGTGGCTGCCTCGAGGGGACCCACGCACGCAGGCTGCTTCCTGGGAACGTATTTCATGGCTGGCCAGCTCAGTTCTCCTCTGAATTAATCACCTGCGATCAAATCAGACCTTTCAGCACTAGATTTCTTATACCATTATTTCAACAATATTGATAAACGGATTACATGCACGCAGCCAAGTCACTGCTGCCTGGGGCCTTTCCGCATGAAAAATGACTCCTTTTCTCCTAACTCCTGCGCTGGGGGGTCTTACATATTTTAGTGCTAATCTGACAGCAAAACTGCAAGCCCATATGTCACCTCCAGGACGCCTCGGGTGGGTGTGGGTGTCGGGGGTGGACCGCCCTGACTCGGGCGGGCCACCGGAAGGATTCCATTGTATCCGCTTTCTTCCTGGCGTACTTGAAAGTCTTCAACAAGAAGGAAGAAAGGCATGGTCAAGTTCACACGGTTTGGGGCCTTACCCCCACCTTCCCGGAGATGTTGATATTGTCTCTTGAATAACAAGGTGAAACTTTGGCAGCTGCCAGAGTGGGGGGTCTGATCACCACCCCCCATCGCCGAACATCCTGTGGGTCAGGCAGTGAAATCATAAATTTATAATACAACATTTCTTCAATTTTCCTCTTCATTTACTGCTGTGCAGCCCAGCTCTGCTCCAGCGGCTCCCGGCCCCAGCCCATGGGGAAACGGGCTGGCTGCATATCAATAGCACATTACGGCCGGCCCGTGCGGCGGCTCCACCAGGCCACATGGCGGGGAGGTGACCCAGCCACCACTTCCATTAGCAGCCGGGCCCTCCCGCACCGGCTGCTGCGCAATGTATTTGCTCCGGCACTCTGGACGCCTGATCAATCCCACAGTAATTATCTCTTGTCACTGAAGAAAAACCAAGCCTTCTGCCTGGATGGCCACCTTTCTCACAGAAAGGCTTTCCACTCGGGAAAAAGAAACTCCGAAATCTACAGCAGAATCTGAGTTTGCCAGCCAGCTCAGTTTAGTGGCCCCTCTGGGGGGTGCGGCAGAGTTCTCCGGAGTGGGGTTCTAGGTCCCGGCTCCACCCTCAGATGTCTGTGTGCCAGCCGGGCACATGACTGGGCCTCTCCCGGGCTCCGTTACTCAGCTCCTCAGAGGCACGGAGAGTTGCTCCCACTGGGCCTTCGACTTGAGAGAGACAAGGGGACTGTGACTGTGTGGCCCTGCTGTGGGGGTGCAGGGCACTGCCCGGGGTACCGCACCGGCCATGAGATCTGCACACAAATACAACTCCAAGTGTCAAGAACCAATCACAGGCAAAAGGTCTGCAAGGTGCCCAGCCCCAGAATCATCCAGAATCACGGGGCTCCCCCAGACCCGTGCCGTCCAATTTAAATTTAATTTAATTTAAATGATATAAAACAAAAACTTCAGTTCTTCGACAAGAGAGCCGCATCGTCGATGCTCAGCGGCTAGTGTAGCTGGTGGCTGCCGACCTGGGCGGCCCCGGTCCGGCACCTGCCCATGGCACGGGAGGTTCCAGTGGAAGGTGTGGCTCTAGAGGAAGATGAGGGCTGGATGCCGAGTCGCCTCTGTTTACCAGGAAACAGCTGGACAAGCGGAGACCTCCTTGGGAATAACCTCACCGTTATTTTTGGGAAAGACAAATCCCGGGAGGAATTGCAAGGAGTCTAGTCATGCGGCCTAAGCTCCAGCCCATCTCCACGTGGCCTGTGAGTGGAGCCCAGCTGGTTACAGCTCCTGGGCCTTCTCCATTTCAGAGGGGCTTCCCGTCGGGGAACGCTGGGTCAGTATGCCTCTGGCTTCCTTCATCTGGGCAACTGGCTCTCCACTCGGGCCGGCAGGGCGAGGCTTTTCAAGGCTCCAGCAACGAGGACTTTTCCCGGCACTGGCACTGAACCTGTTAGAGCGTGTGCCTGGCTAGGCCAGGAGAGGGCGAGGCGGTAGGTTGATGTGGCGGAGAAGGCCAAGAGGAATCAAATAGATCAACACTCATTACATGGTTTTTGCTTTTATTCAGCCCACTTTCACTGAGAAAAACCAAAGAGAGTCTAGTGCTTGGAGCTGGGTAACCGTGGGCACCTCTTTGCTGCTGCAAGTGGAACGCAGTCTGAGTGCCGCACGGAGACCTTTGCTAAGGGCCTCAGTTGATTTGCGTTTTGTCTGCTCAGAGGCAGGGAGACCTGACCCTTTCTCTTCTCTCCTGCGTTCTTTGTAAGGAATTCCCACAGGGCCGATTATTCTATGATTCTGTCAAAGGCTGTGAAAGCTAAAACCCAAACAGCTGTAGGTTCCCCCCAAGGACGTCTGCAGCCACATCAAGAGAGATTGAGAAAGAATAACTGGAACTATGCGCTCATCAGCCTTCCTGTGATGAGGCCTCCCCACCGATGGAGACGTCTTAGGGATATTTAAAGGATTGTCCCGCAGTGTCCTGGTCACTTGCGACCAGTGTGTCTGCTCTCACCAGACGTCAGCTCGCAGGGATCAGGCTTCATTCTCTGCTGCTGTCTCAGCACCCAGAACGGGCTTGGCACTTAGCAGGCCCTCAGTAAATATTTGTTGAGTGGATGGATTTAAAAACTTTAATGGTTTGTAATCTCACTTCTAAAAGGCCCTATCAGTGCCTTCCTTATCTGCGCTTTCAACAAAAATGGTTAAGTCATTGAAACCTCATCTCATTCCATTCATCAACACGTTTTTAAAAATGCTCTGCGTGAGCTGGGATCTTTAGCCACATTGCTGTTGGTGGCGATGGTGATGATTCCAGGACTGCCATGCACGCCGGGGAGGGGCCTTGGTGACTGATGGGACCCACGGAAGGGTTAGACCCTCCAGAAGCCACCGCTTCAGAGGGAAGGAGCAAGTGCTTCAGTCACAGCACAGAAGGCACCCTCCTTGCCCAGAGCCCAGGATGCCAAGCTGTGCCAATGGGCAGAATGGAGGGCACTTCTGGCGGGGGCATTGGAGAAGCCTCGAGGGAGACTCCGGCCTGACCAGGGAGGCAACAGGCCAACCAGACTGTGACACTGTCAGTCTGTCCCCTGGGTCCTGGCTGATCCACCCCTTCTGCTGGACCGCAGGCTGAGCTGGTTCCTGGCTGGGGACCCAATCCCAGAGCCACTCGCCCACTCCCCCCAACCCCCACGTCAGGGAACACTGCGTTCCAAGGCTGGTGCTTCGGTTTGGATGGCCCTTGGTTTACTCATTCTTCTCGTTCCACCTAAAAAGCCACCTCCATCCACAGGGAGGTGTCCCCTGATTCCTCAGACTGGTTCTATTCTCTTTACCTGCTCTGAAAGCACCCTGTCACTTTCTCTATTACAACAGACTAGAGGCTCAGTGCACGGATTAGTGCACTGGTGGGGTCCCTTGGCCTGGCCTGTGGGGATTGGGCTGAAGTCGAGGGACACCACAGGTGTACAATCAGGGCTGGGGAGGGACCATGAGAGGGCTCCAGGGTATGTCCAGCCCATCTTGCCCAGTACCGAACGGCTGGACCCCAGCAGCAAGCTAACCTACCGGTCGGAGTCTCTGCCCCCTGGTGGTCAGTGCATGTCATAGCGACTGGTCAAACAGTAGGACACTTAGCATATTAGGCTTTAATTATATAGGATTAGGTTTCTGGGTGACTGGCTGTTAAATATTGTCTCTCTCATTAGACCACAACTCCATGAGGGCAGGGACCACATCTGTCTCCCAGCGCTAGCCCAGGGCCCGGTGCACAGCAGGCATTCAACAAGGCCCTCCTGCCGTGGCTCCCATTATGGGTGCCCTCTGTTTAGGGATTAAGCTTGGGTGTCTGTGGAGATGTGGACCCGGAGCCCTTTACTCTTTTGGCAACTGACACGAGTGGCAACTGGCTTCGCTCCGCACCTCTGCTTCTTCACACAGGTAAAGGGCACAGAGTTAGACTCAGAAAGGTGGGGCAGGACCCTGAAAAATGTCTCCCATTTTATGCCCTAAGGCCTTTATACATACTCCAAAAGCCAGCAGGTGGAAATGAGCTCAACTCATTATGTGTTTAAAAGTCTTAAGCCATTCAGAGTGTCTTGGGGTACACAACACAGGGTAAAGGCCAAATAAAAATTATTATTTAAAGAGCCAGACAAGTGCCTTGCAGTCAAGCACGAAATAATTCTCACTGATTTCTTATAAAAATCTTATAATAATTACACTCTTATGTAGAAATATATTTAGTTCTGGTTCTTTAACTTTTCCCATTAACAAATGCATTCCTCTATACCACACTATTTTAATTACTGCAGTTTTGTGCTATGTTCCTATACTCCATCAAACTAGTCTTTTCTCACGTCTCCTTTTAACACATTTTCTCATTTATTCTTAGTGTTTCTTCTGCCAGATCTGTTTTGGAATCATTTCCCCATTTTTTAAAGACTTACAATAGGATTTTTCTTTGAAGCCGTTAAGCCTAAAAATACTAATTTGAGAAGAATAAACATCCCAGCTGTTTTCCATATCCTCATGGCATCTCTCTCCATTTTAAATTCCTCAAAATAACTTTACCTGCCCTTGTCATCTCCTCAGAAAAATTATTTTCATGAATTTACAAGACCCAGGAAACTTTTACAAATGTAAAACTAAGCCAGGAATGATTTGAACAGCAGCAAATTTGAAAATACATAAAGAGCTTATCAAACAATGTAGAGGAGGGGCTCTTGGCCAAACCGAATGAAAACCCATTAAAACTAGGCAGATCATGCGCCTAAATGGGATTTTAGCATAACTACCATTTATCCCATTTAATTAATATTTTCCCGACACACAATAACTTGCACTAAAATACCGTTCTCTTGCCTTGAAATTTCTAATTATTGCTGCGACCCACACCATTATGCTACTCCACGGCTTTCTCCATCTTTCATGCCATTTAAGCAGCAAGATTTTCAATTATCTACGCAGGACGGACAGAGATACCTTTAAGGAAGGGGCATAATATGCAACTCAATTTCTCTAAAAGCCAGGGGAGATCATTTTTGCCAGGACAAACACATTTGTCTTTGATCATTTTTTTTTCCAAATAAAGAATAAAACAGGCTATTTAAAACATCCATTAAAATGCAAATTTTGTATCCCAAGAGAAAAATGTTAATGGTTTAAATAGGCAGGATTATCGCCCACCCTCACCACTTCCCCTCCTCTCTCAAGTTTAAGAAGAGGTAGCCTCAGCCCACACAAGTTCAACCAGCCAGGAGCCCTGAGGTCTTTAAAAACTCCCAGTTAGGAGAGAGGGCTGGGGCAGAGGGAGGGAGTGACTTTTCCTCCCTTTGAAGGAAGGGGTGGAAAGAAAGAAAATATCTAGTGCCTCCTATAAGCCAGGCATGGGACAAGATGATCACTCTGCCACGTGACCTTCCTTCCTCTGTCACCTTCACTCCTTCCCTCCCTCCCTCCCTCCATCCTTCCCTTCCTCCATTCACCTATCTCTCCCTCCCTCCATCCCTCCATCTCTATCTCTGCTCATTTAATAGTCACAATTGCCTTGCAAGGGGGATTATCATTCTCATCTACAGACAAGGAAACTGAGGCTCAGACAGGTAAACAGCTTGCCCAGCTGGTAGGTGGGTGCAGGCTTCCAAAGCCCCCAGCCCATGGTGACCCTGCAGGGTCCCCAGGTCCCACCCAGACTCACCCAGCATCCCCATGCCAAGCATGAACGCGTCCATGGTGTAAGGCAGTCCCCGGGCCCGACCTCTTGTCCCAGGTGGGAACATGACTTCTTTCGGCTGAGCTTTCTTACATTCTACCTGTTAAACAGAAAGGTGAACAAATGAGATGCAAATGAATTCCACGTAAATGTCAAATGCAGAGCTGATCTGGTTACGAGCTGGGTTATTTTTAGCCCTGCTCCTTACTCACTGTAAAAATAGCCGTGCAGAGTAAATGGCCTGCAAAATAAATATTTAAGAAAACACACCATTTGCGCAAATCCTGCTTCAGAAAAACCTACAAGGATGAAATTGGGTTTGGAAGGGCGGCGAGGACGTAAACTTAGAATACACATGCGTGGGTTGGGAGCTCAGATTGTGCGGAAGGCGGGAGAAGTAAGGAGGCACTCAGGGCTATTTGTGGTGTCTGAGAACAGTTACAATCCTGCATGATTGGATGGACCATTACATGTTTACAAATCTCTCTTGGGTTTCTTTCAGTCAGTGACTCTTCACACCAGGGCCATCTGACTCCACCTCTCATTAAACAGAGAGGCCGGTTGGTCTCAGTTCCATTGCACAGATGAGAAAACTGAGTGTCGGAAGACTTGTGTCCCGGGTTGTAAACCATATCCTGGCAGGGGCAGGCCTGAGGGCTGGATTTTTAAAATTTCTACGCCAGCGATGCCACCATCATATAAAACCATCGCCGGCACACTCCCGAGGGAAGAAATAAAATTAAACGCTGATTCTGCCCGTCTGGATTACAGGTTTCTCATTTGGCACCACAACTTCAAGGGGTTGATAATCATGCCTGTTTCCTTCTGCCTCCAACATTTCATAATCCTATTTTGCTCACACATCCAGAAGTTACTTATTTAACAACATATATCTATATCTACCTATCTCTATGTCTAGCCATATAAAGAACATATAATGCAAACCCCAGGAAATAAGTAAAACTGTTGGCTGCTGAAGTTCCTACAATATTTTACTAGGGTTCCTTAGGCCCTTGCTCAGCATTACTTGCTCTTAGTTCACAAACTTAACAGGCCCTGTTAGCCAGTGATCAGTCCCATTGCTGATGGAGATGGGATGCCGCAGGGTAAGGCAGAGACCCTGAAACTGCCCATGCCATCAAGGGTATGCATATCCGAAAAACCACCAAGCATCTGAAGGATGTCACTTTACAGAAGCAGTGTGTGCCATGCGTCGTTACAATGGTGGGGTTGGTAGGTGTGCCCAGGCCAAAGAGTGGGGCTGGGCGCAGGGTCACTGGCACAGCAAGAGTGATGAATTTTTGCTGCACGCACTTAAGAATGCAGAAAGCAACGCCGAGCTTAAGGCTTTAGACGTAGACTCTCTGGTCACTGAGCACATCCAGGTGAACAGAGCTCCCAAGATGCAGTGCAGAACTTATAGAGCTCATGGGCGGATTAACCCAAACATGAGCTCTCCCTGCAACAGTGAGATAGATGATCCTTATTGGAAAAGAGCAGATTGTTCCTAAAACAGAAGAGGAGGTTGCACAGAAGAAAAAGATATCCCAGAGGAATGGAGGAATCAAACACTTATGGCCCGAGAGTACATTCAGCATGAAATAAGTGCTAATAAAAGTTAAAAAAAAGAAGGAGCCCGGCTAGTGTGGCTCAGTGATTGAGTAGGGACCTATGAACCAGGAAGTCATGGTTCCATTCCAGGTCAGGGCACATGCCTGGGTGGGGGGCTCGATCCCTAGTGGGGGGTGCACAGGAGGCAGCCGATCAATGATTCTCTCTCATCATTGATGTTTCTATCCTTCTCTCCCTCTCCCTTCCTCTCTCTGAAATAAATAAAATAAATAAAATAAAATAAAATAAAATAAAATAAAGAAAGAAATCAGAATTGGGTGCATCAGATTTCTCCCCTAAACCTAGTGTGACAACTTGCTCCTGGACTCCAGGTCCCGCCGCCAGGACTCAGAAGCAGGCTGAGAAACCGCATTTGCAAGAGCCTGCCCGAGCAGGGTGTGCGCTGCGGAGGCAGACAGATAATTACCCGACGATAACACCAGGATCCGGAATAATACCGCTAACCAGCTCACTTCCTAATAGCCCTATCGGTGACAATCTACTGCATTGTCTTATGAAAACCCGCTGCCTGTTCCTAAGCAACCTGATCAACGAAAATTTCAGGTTTATACAATTTTCATTTAGGGAATATAAAGGTTAACTGACTGTAATGGGAATATTTTAAACAAACCCACCTACTCTTCATCTCTCTGAGAAGGGCTGGCAGCTCTGTTTAATTCTGCCGTCTTGCTGGTGTTGTTTTGGGCAGCACCAACTGCGTGGGTTCTGTCAACCACTGTTGTGCCAACTGCGGGCACTCCCTGAGGCCAGGGGATGTGGCACGCATACTCTCTCAGGGACCCCAGCACCTCCCGGGCACTTGAGTGATGGAGAGGTGGCAGTCGCACCAGGGAGCCTGCCTGGCCTACACCAAAGGCTTCTGGGAAGGTGTCTCAGGACCAGGAGGCCTGCCCACCCAGCCCTGATCCTCTGATGATGTTGGATGAAGAACACATACAAAAAGAGAAAGAGGCAGAACTATCCTCTGTATCGCAAGTCCTAGTGGGTCGGGGCTTGCTGAGGATGGAACTATGTCCTTCACCCATCACGGGAGGAAACCTCGTCTCCCCCATCAGACAGTCCTTATGGCGGGATCAGGGTCAGTTCCATCTTCCCTGGTGCCTCAGTGAAGTTCCACACACAGCGTGGATTCACTCACATGCTCGTTATGGTCAAGGAGACCATCTATTTAATTCAACGGGGCTGAGCAACTCCATGCACCACAAATGCTGGGCTGGGGGGGACGCAAAGATAGATAAGGCAGCCCCCACCTCCGACAGCTCTCATTCTTCTGAAAAGCACAGATCGGTTACGTTCTCCTAGCATTAAGGCAAGTCCTCACTCGTCAACCAGACCTTGTAACTCCTGGGCTCGGCAGCCTCTGGAGCCTCTTGAGTTAGACCACATTTGGGTCACACCGAACCCTCCCCCAACCCTGCCACCTTCCCACCGGGCCTTGGGCAACCCGAGTTATAGTTAGAACCAAAACGGGGAAAGCCCAGCCGGTCTCCGAAGCCCAAGTCACATCCTCAGGTCATCTGGCCACACGCTGTGTCCCAGTCAGCTGCGCAACAAACACCCCAAACTCAGTGGCTTCGAGCAACGATTCGTCATTCCTTCTCGTGGCTCTGTGAGTTGAGTGGGCTCAGCGGGGCTCTGGCTTGCTGTCTGTCATGTGTTTGTGGTCAGATGGCGGCTGGGGCTGAAACCAGAGAGAGCCTGGACTCGGAGCAAGGCCCACCACGGCTTCCTCACTTAGGAGGCAGGCAGGGGACGCTGGGTCGGCAGGGACTGTCCACGGTGGGGGCGGGGCACCTACTCCTGGCTTCTCCGTGGCCCTCGGTCTTCTCACAGTGATGGCCGCTGTGTCCCAAGCACAAGCAGGCCAAGGACAGGCCGATGCTGCCAGGCTTCTTCCAGCCCAGCCCTGGGAGTCTCACTGCTACTTCCATCCTGTTCTGCTGGGGACCAGCCTCCACTGGGTGTGGGGGGCACACAGGACGTGAATCTGGGGGGCACAGCTCAAGGGCCGTCCGTGGAGACTAACCACCACATGAGCTCAGTGAAGAGCAGTGAGCAGACGGATGGGGGACTATTCCTCTCACCCTTGGTGTCCAGCTGGCTGGGTTCCGGGGGCATGGGCACTGAGGCTGCCTTCACCAGGGGGCACAAGCAGGGCATGAGCTCCCCTCCCAGGGCAGCCCAGGGAGGCTTGTCCGGCCCCCAGGTCAACAGAAGCGCGATGGGTGACCAGATCTCTAGCTCCGCAGTCTCAGCACCACCCCTGAGCCCCCATGTGTACCATGGCCCCCCCTCCCCCCCCGCACACACCAGGGTGCTTGTCGAGGGCAGCCAAGGCAGGTAGAGTCTGAGGAAGGAACATCTCTGAGTCTTGGTCCTTGAGTCTCCTCAACCAACACCTCAGCCCCCACCTCCACAGCGCCTCCCGGTGGCTGCGTCGCTATTGCCTCAAAGGCAGCTGCAGAAAACCAGTCAGGTTGGCGGGCCAGAGGCTGAGCCGGAGGTGCCACTTGGAGCTGTGCTTGTAAGAAGCCAGAGGACACTGTAGCCAGCTGCTCACACCGGGAAGACGAGGTCTCCCATTTTCCGGTTTCACGGCTGACAAAGCCAAGAAGCCGTCCCACCCCAGGGGCCGAAGGCGGCTCCCCAAAGGTAGATGGGACTGGCTTTAGAATGCCAGTCCCCAAGCATGCTGCTCTGCCTCAACACTGGGCGCGGAGGAGAGGGGTGGCTTCCCGTGCCCCATGGCTACGGGTTCGGAAGAATGGCCTTTAAGAGGACTCACAGGCTGACGTGAGCTTGTACATGTGTGAGCTCCACCCCTCCGTGCTGGCTGCTCTCAGGGGGTGGGGGCCTCTCCCCATCAGGGTCCAAAGCCACTCAGCAAGGGCCGCTTCTAATCTAACTCTCTATTTAGAGGCAATTTCACTTACAGGAAAGGTGTAAGGACAGCACAGGGCACACCTGCACACCCTTTACCCAGATCGCCTGTTGTCAACGGGGTGTCACTCTGCTTCCTCATTTGCACACTCTCTGTGACTACATGATTTCCCCCTGAACCATTGGAGAGTGTCTTGCACACACGAGGGCATGCCTTTCCCAAACACGAAGACATTTTCTGATGTAACCACAGTGCAGTTATCAACCTCCGACACTTACCCCTGATGTCCGTTATCACCGTCCCTCCGCCTTACAGAACACGCAGCCGAGGCCCAGGATGTCAGGCTGCGCCTAGCACTGCAGACAGTCCCTGTGTGGCAGGGCTGGGTCTGAGCCCAGATCTGCCTGATGCCAAGGCCCGTGCCCAAGGAGTGGGTCTCTGCCATGCCCTAAGGGGCATCGTTTGGCACTGGCTTTGGGAGAAGGCGCTGGGCCTTCTAGTAGCTTGGTTGGTTAGAGTGCTGTCCTAATATATCAAGGTTGTGGGTTCAATCCCCAGTCAGGGCACATAGAAGAAACAACCAACAA